AAAAATTTCGATTATCATTGGATGGAATTGATCACCTTTCATAAAATCAATCCTGGAGGCGTCAGATTCAGCACAGAAGGCGTCATCATACTCCTCATTCCAGTCTGACCGATCGGTGATCTGATAGTTGGAGGTGTTGCCGGCGCTGCCGCAGTTGCTCCTGCTCGTTCCGCGTCTGTGAGGGAACAGATCATCGTGATACTGTATATCCAAATATTCATTACAGGTTGTGAATGGGGAACTGTTTCTCGACTTTCGTTTTATTCCCAGGAAAGAAATGAATATTTTGCATTGGCATGCAGTGGAATTGGAGGTAAAATTCTGATACACATGTGAAATGCTTGTATTGTATCTGTGCGATAGAAGCTCTTTCGAGCGTATTTTATAAACGGGTCGTTTCACCTACGAGTATATAGAGGCAAAATTGTCAAAATGACACCGACACAAATCAAGGAGGGCAATGCAACATTTGATATTAGCATACGTTATACAAACAAATGTACTCCAAAAGTGGGAGTAATCTAAAAAAAACTTAGGCATGGTATTCTTTGGCTCTTAAACTTTGTATGCCATGAGTCAAGACCAAGTTTTCCAAGTTTATCTTCTGAAGTTTAGACATCGCGAGATATACCCTTCATAATTGTCATTAAGGGAGTTAAGTGATGATAATATCTTTCTTTAGATTAGGCAGATATTTTCCCCCGAAAATTGGCTCCAGGAGACTGTGTCCTTAATGTTATATGAATTGCAAAGACCCCAACCTTTTTTTTTTTTTTGCTCCAATCAAACTCCTCTTACTCTCCTTCCTGCACAGTTCATGTCGGAGTAGTGATGAAGAGAGTGGAATCCCTACTTTCTGCCGAAATGTCATCGAACTGCACATATGGTCAGGGTAATCTTGCACGCTCACTGACTGAATATGGGCATGCCAAGATTTTGCTTTAAGTATTTGAGTATCTTAGTCAGAAAATATTTGGCAGTCTATATATATATAGATATATATAAATAAATATATAAATAAATATAGATCTATCCATCTAAATACTAGATCTATATCTATCCATTTAGATGGATAGATCTATATAAATATAGATCTATCCATCTAAATAAATATAGATCTATCCATCTAAATATATATAGATATATATATAAATATATATATCTATATATATTTAGATGATTTCTCAATTCCATATCTAAGAATCTCCAGTTACGGATACGAATATCAAAGTGTAAAACTTTACAAAAATATAATTTCTCTAAAAACTCGTTTCTGGTTCCGAATCGGTGAATCTGTATCATCGGTGTCATTCGTCGATGGAAGCAGAGTATTTTTTTGAGCTTCTTTATAAGCAAACTAATTGGATACAGTCTCTTTCAACTCTTGACAGAAATTTTTTTTCCTGCATGCACGAAGAAGGAATGAGTTACCTGTGAGAGTCGGACAACAGACGAGATGGGTCTGCGGGTTTTCATTTCCCCTGCCCCAATCGCAGATGATGGGCCTCTTGATCCGGTAAGTCTTCATGACGGTAGGACAGTCCATAATAGGAGTGCATATCCCAGGTCTCCCATTACTCATTTTACAACTCTGACGCTCCAGAATCGTCTTCTCTGTTATGTGTTCTGCCAAAATAGTCACTTTTTAAACTTTTAACCCGATAGCAAAAAGAGAGTTATCAATAATAATAAAAATCACGTTCTGATTCTGAAGACCTTCCTTCAGGAAGGATCGAGAGATTGTGCAGCATTAAAAAGGTTTCCCCTTCGTGCAAGTTCGGACCCCAAAGCAATAAACGTATGGCATCGCATCGGTTTACTCATACCGCATATTCATGCACCTCATCATGTATTCATCGTATTTCATCATATTTCCTAACTATTACCTTACTGTTGAATGTATCTCGCCTATTTTCTAAATTTGGGAACCATTTGTGCCAAGTCAATTTCACAAAAGGTTGCCCCTCATTTTATCTCTGTTTCAAAGTAGATTACTTCCAAGTGAAAGTTCCCCCTTCTACCTTCCCCGTGTCATTGTCCTCCTAGCGGTACGTATTGAAACCATGCTATTCCCAAGACGGCTTGGTAGTTGTATGACTCATGAGTCAGTTTCGTTCAGAGTGACAAGTCTCTTCCCGGAAGAAATGCTTTGTTCCAAGGATGGGAACCAGTTTTTTTTTTTTTTAGCGTTATGCTAAGACTTCAACGTACTTTTATGTTGCTCGGAATGGACTCATAAGAGTGGCGTTCAGAAACCTGAGACGAAGGATCGATAGGCCTAGGCGTACTGTATGTAGCTCAGAAATAGATGTATAATTGGGTCACAGTTTCGTGTTCAAACCCAAATGTACGTCATAGTTTATAACTAGGCCTTGAACCACCACAAATCATGTTAGTCTAGGACCCAGGACTAACGTTACATCTATCATATGCTCAGTCCTCGAACGTTATGTGACATCTACAGGCAATGTAAATGAAGGGGTGGCAACGACTAAAATTGTAGTAAATAAAAAAAAGAAGCAGAGTGAACCCCACCCAGAAAATTCAACCTTTTTGTTCACCTCAGTTTAGCCCTATGCATTTTACCTTAAGTAAGAACATTTTTATAAGGCTTTCCATTCTTTCCATTTTTTTTTTCATACGGAAGTTATCTCCCCATTATGATCGCCAAAACACCATAGGAATTCTACATGCACGAGCCAAAACATTCAAAGTTGGCAACCAAAATGTATAATATTCTAATATTTGATTTTTGAGGAGGTTAAATGGTCATGTTTGTGGAAAAGGCTTCAAAATGACACATCGAATGAGGAAAGCAAGGATTGTGGGATAATTGATGTCATGACATTCACGTATTGTGGAGTGGTGAGTTACCATCAATGTGTCCGACATTCCATTCCAAGAGGGAAACAAATCGCACAAACTCCGATAATGTCGATTAATGCACGTAATAGTATTATAATAGATACCTCGGGCGAATAAATAAATTATATAAATAAGTTAAAGACGACAAATATACCCTACCATGTATTTAAGTCCGTCCACGAGCAAAACCGGACAAATAAAATCGAAACCGATTCCTCGGGTTATATCATAATCAATTCCATACATGAACGATAGAACTTTATGCGTCATAGGGCACAATTAGATGGCGTGCATTATGCACGTGATGGTTGATTTGTGATTCTCTCACCTGGAATGGAGGGACGTGGCCGAAAATGGGTTGGGGGCAAGAGGATGGCCATGGTCCTCCAAAAAGTATATAGAAGATGAGGGAACTGCATTCTGTCACCTAAAAGGAGAGCACAGAACCTGTTGTTAGCTTGTGTATTATGACCTTCATTCGCTATCCAGCACACACTTGCGATCAGTAGCGTAGCCAGGGTTTTGCCAAAGGGGGGGGGGGGGGGGGGGGGG